AATTCTTTTTTAGAGGCCCAGCTCTCCCCACACAATGCCTGGGGAACCTGGCTGCCCAGGTTCTGGGAATTCTTGGACTGGGAATTCCACTAGGCAGTAGGGCACCGAGGGGTGAAGTATTGCAGCCTAGGTCCCTTTGTGACTCTAGCCATTAGGGCTTGATGCAAAGCCCACTGCAGTAAATGGGAGGCTTTGCTTTGACTTCAGTGGGATTTGGATCAGGCCCTTGAGTATCTGGCTGTGGGAGAGGCTTCAGAGCACGCTGGAGGCGCTTTCCAGGTAAGAGCCAATGCATCCTGCTCCTTGAGTTTGGTACTGTTTGCACCAATAACTTGCCCCAGAGCAGGTATTGTTAGTCCCATGACTATGGCTAGTAGTAAGTGTGTGGCCCAGATGCTAGACATTTTTATCAGTTCTCTGCTATAAACTGTTAATTTAGGGTGTGTTCTTTTTTTCTATTCAGAAAATAATTATTGCTCTGTGACATAATGGGAAAACTGCCAAATATAACAGTTAAAACCCAAATCTTTGGAAGCTGTGATGCTTAGGGAGGGAAAACTTCTCCCAAGTGTGCAGCCATAGGAGACTAGGGTCAGATGTACCACTAGTACAATACTGGTTTGATTATAAAGTCCCAAGAGGTACCTTTGACTTAGATACCTCCTTTAAAGGCATCAGAGAGGTGACACCCTGTAGCACCTCTGCCTAATGCTTGAGTCAGACACTTCCCCTCACCCAGACCCAGTGCCTGCAGATTTGTTGTCACATCTCACAGCTCTGAGGGTGGGTTTGGAAAGATAGTGACTTTGCCATATTTTCCAGCAGCGTGAGCCTCCTGTGCATTTAGATCCCCTGCAGGGTGTTATTCCTGGCTGGGATGTGATGTCACTGAAATATATCATGTGAGCCCTCAGATCTCATGGGCAGACTAAAAGACCATAGATCATTTCACTGCATGAGCTTTATGCTGTGCCGATCACACACACATACCCCTTTTTCCACTCACAATCCTCTTCTCCCTCTGCTTTTGGAATGAGAATTTCAAATATGGGTGCTCACATTTAGGTGCCAAACTCCACCTACATAGGACCCTAAAGACATGGTCTGAATTTCAAAAGTGCCAAACAACCAGCAGCTCACATTAACTTCCCTGAGAGCTGCCGGGTGCTTAGTACTTTTGACAATCAGGCCACCTATTTAAGAGCCTAGTTTTAGGCTTCCATTATCAAAAATCTTGGCCTCCGTGTAAAGAACTGGAATAACCAAGTGCATAGCAAAGTTGCATAGAATGGTGAGTAGCCACTGCTCCATTAAATATAGGAAATGTTGAACAAATGAAAAGCCCCTGATGAGTAGTCTGTTGTACCCCAGGACAGATTTAACTCTGTGTCTATCATCAGTTTAACTTCTGCTTGGATACTAAACATTGTATTCGACCCAGTGGTATATTCAATATCTTATGTAACTCCAATTTTTTCTTAATATTCCAGACTGTGTGCTTTCTCTTTTATGCCCCAGGATGTCTAATGCATTTTCCCCCCTGATCCTTTTATGAGACAGATACCACAGTTAAGGTAGGAGGATTAATATACTACATTAATCTATCTCAAGCAATACGTTTATATCTCTGGAAGCTCTTAAGAGAAAATTTAGCTTAGCTCTTTTCCTTAGTTCACATACGTTGACATTAGGAGCTTTGTATGCTCTGGCTTTGTAAAGCCACCTATGACTGTGCTCTATGGGAGAGGAAGGGGTGATATTGCAGTAAGGGCCTGGGATGCAGGAGGCTTGGGTTCACTATCTGATCCTCCCTCAGGCTTCTTATTTGACCTTGGGCAAGTGCCTCATCTGTAAAATAACAATATTACTTCCCTTCATCACAGGGGTGTTGTGGGGGTAAGTTAATTAATGGTCGGGGAGTGCTTCATTGTAGGACTGAAATTATCGGAACCCTATACATAAACTGCATTGACAGAATCCAGAACTGTAAATGCTTTATCCCATGCTGTGTAATGCAACTACTTTATCAAAAACAAGATTTGTGACTGTTTAGGAGGAAAGATAATGGGAATTATTTGGGCACTAAATGACCTTTTCAATGCTGGAGAAAATATATGACCACTACTAATCTTATGGAAGCTCACTCCCTGATTCTGAATTATTATCTCGCCCCCCAGAAGCATACCTAATTTATCCTATTCATTCAGGTCTGTGTCGGAGAGATGATTTATCTCCAAAGTTAGTGATCTGAGGACAGGTTGTACCAAGCAAACTGAAATATCAGTCCCAACATTTCTTCCAGATGTTACTGATGGCTGGGAACCTTGTTCCTGCTGCAACTCGGAAGAACATGATTCCATCGGGTATTAAAGATTTGCTGAAACCAGTCTAGCAAATTAGGGAGATGGAAAGATTAACTGTTGCTGTACAGGAAAAGCACAAACTTCTATCAGTTATGCTCTTTTCCAGCATGATGGAAATATCATTGTAATTACTAATTAAAGAACCCTATGTAGAGATGTTTAGTATAGGACAGATTTATTAGAATCATACTAGTGCCTAGCTGGTTGGCACTTGTTATAACAATAAGGACTGACCAGAACAGAGAACTTCTAGAGGGTACATTAAATACACTTGCTGTCACCGCATTTCTGTTCTGTCTGTACTCAGGGCTAGGGATTATCTCCCTGATCTCTCTGTAAAAATCTATCAATAGCAGAGCATGCACAGTTGGGCATTTTAGGTTAATTCCCTCACCTTTTTTTTTTTTTGTTCCTCTACCTATACATGAAGTGAGGGAAATGAAAAAGCTAAATTGACTCTTTATTTCTCTCTCTCAAAGGTTATGACCAAAGTGTGCATAACCACAAGGGATGGTAAAATGGAAGATAGAACTACATAGATATTGTTATGGAAGAAAAAAATCTTGCTGTATGAGCAAGTGAGTCAAAAGAATTGATTATAGAAAGATATCTGTTTGGTTCTTATCTAATCCAATTCCTATCATATATCCATATTGCCACTAGACACCCACATTCCATCTGATCTCCCGGGAGACATTTCCCCTGGTTTCTGATTGGAAGATTCAGGCAACCCCCCACAAGTTGCCCTTCATCTTCCGAGAGGCAAATCCAGCCCCCTCCTTCTGAGCCGCAGGAGGCCCCTTGGCAAGGGAACTTATGTCGTTATACAGCACTGTGGGAAGGGGGCCGGATCTGAGTCCACTGGGCTTCTGTTGCTGCTTTTGTTGGTTTTGTGGACTGTTGTTTTAATCATTCGTCAGGATGCACAGAGAGCTTTTTTGTCTTGTGTACTCAAATGGAAATAAATATATTCCTGACTCTGCCAATGACCAATCATATAATCCTGGACAAGCCATTTAATATTTCTGTCCGCCAAACTGCCCCTCTGTAAAACGGCTCTAATCATGTTGAGCAGCCTCCTAAGGGTGCTGTGAGAATTAGTATTTGTAAATTGCTATAAAATGCTAGGATTGAATACCTACTCTGATAGACCCAGGCCAGTTGGGTACAACAAAGTAGTCTTATTGGTAGCCAGGAAGTGGCTCCCTGCACTGCCAAAGGACCTCCCCCCAGCCTAAGGGGAGGATCCACAGGACCTGGATAACAAAGTAATTCTGGGGGACAACAAATGAAATAACAGGGACAGGAGTGTGGTCAAAGGGCTAAACGTAGGAAACCTAATGGGGACACCGAGCAGAGAACCCCGGACAGCGCCTACTGCTCCTCGAAAGCGTCAAGGGAGCCAGCGGATGCCACCCAGAGGAACTCTGCCCGGATGCGTGAATGGACTGAGGAGCGGAAATAGGCCCCACAGTCGCAGAAACTCCCGTCAGCCAACCTCCTCTCCCTGGTTTTGTAAATGGCCAGTTTGGCCAGGGCCAAGAGGAGGTTGACAAGGAGGTCCCATGACTTTGTGGGGCCTTGGATGGGGAGTGCGTAGATGAACAGATGAGGGGGAAAATGCAACCAAAAATGTAATAATATATCCAAGAGGAGCTGGAATAGGGGCTGCAACCTGGAACACTCTAGGTAAACTTGTGCCATGGTCTCCCTCACGCCACAGAAGGGGCAGTACAACAGAGTAGTAGAAGGCAGATATACTGGCCACTGGATTAACAGTTTTCTGTTCCCTGACTGACCAGAGCAGGGGCTGCTCCAGGCTAATGAGAACACCTGACTCCAATTAACCTGCAAAGAGTCAGGTGAGGCCATTAAGGTAATGTGAACACCTGACTCTAATTAAGGCCCTTTTGATACTATAAAAGGGCTCACTCCAGTCAGGCTGAAGAGAGCTAAGGAGCCAGAGGAGAGGAAGTGTGGCTGAAGGGCTGGTTAATGAAGACACTCTCAAGCCATTGGTAAGGGAGCCCTAAGGTAAGGGTGAAGAAGAGAGAAGTGGGAGAGCTGTGGGGAAGTGGCCCAGGGAAATGTAGCAACTCTGGCAGTGAAAGGTCGGCTGCCAACAGCTGCTACCATTAGGTTCCCTGGGGCAGAAACCAGGGTAAAGGGCGGGCCCGGGTTCCCCTCAACCTGCCACTACAGAAACATCTCCTGGGAGGGGAAGACAGGCCCTTGTCAGGACAGGAGGCTAAACTGTTCTGAAATAAGCCCCTAGGGACAACAGAGACTGTGGGAGTTCTCTCACCAACCTCCTTGCTGGCTTATGATGAAAAGGGCTCAGTAGACTGTAACCCTGGCCCTAGAGAGAGAAGGGCTACGTGGAGGGTTGCAGTGAGCCACTGAGGCTAGCATAAACCGCCTAGAAGTGCGGAACCCACGGGGACATGGTCGGAGCTCTGCCACACTACTTTAGAACTGAGCCTGAACCAAAAGCCTGGACCTGAACATTCCTGATCTTTGTCAAAGTTTGGATCCGGATCTTAACTTTGCAAATCAAGCCCATCATTAATAGAAACACAAAATATTTCTATCTAGAGAATGGTGTATCTTTTCCACAGAAAGAAAAAGAGGACTCACTTCCAATATCTGGCCGCAGCTTTTTGTCGTATTCCCTCAGCAACTTGTTTAATATGAGAGTTGCATCTGTGTCTTGCGTTTTTGGAGCTAATACCCATTGCTGGTTGCCTGTTACATCTTCATATTCATCCTCTTCAACCTTTCTGGAACTGCAATAAAAAAATCAAATGTTATGTTACGTAACTAAAATCTGAATTTACATTTACTAAATCTCAACAGGCACTTCAATAAGTCTGAGTTCTTTATTCTCTCTCAGCTATCTAGTTTTAGAACTATTTTATTAAAGGAGGTATTTATTGCCAGAAGTAAAAGAGTCTGTGTAGGGGGCACTAACTGAAAATAATTATATAATCCATCTCACACCACTGATTTCTCACTGGAACTTCAATCTGTGGATTAATGCAGGGAGCAGACTAGATCACTTTTTTGAAAAATCAACAGATTAACTGATAGGTAACTGATAACTCACTGGTGACTGGGTAACTGGTAACAGAATTCTATGGTGGGTGAACATCCTGCAGTATTATACTGACTCCTTCAACACAACTGATTCATCTCTTGTACAGCAGGCTAATAAGAATATTAAAAATTCAGCTCTTTTAATACTTCCTGATCGTTTCATCCTATTAATAAATTATTACACTCACAATGTTTTTTGAATTTCAGAACTTAATGCAGTACAAGGGTTAGAATTAAGTACATGCTTCTTGAATGTAATATGAATTATCACAAGTACGTAAATATGTTGCATAAGTCTTTTTGAATCTCAGAGTCTAAGCCATTCTGTTTTTATAGTTCTGTATTTTGGGCATTTCAGGAGCTAAGATTCTTCTTTCTACAAGAGGTAGATTATCTTTGTTATGTGAATAAGGCATTAAAATAAGTTGACAACTAATAATTGTCCAGAAACTTTAGCTAGTGCCATAGGTGCTGGAACTAAGTGTGTGTGTGGGGGGGGGGAGGGTGCAGCTGCACCCCCTGGCTTTAAGTGGTTTCCATTATATACCGAGTTTACAGTTTGGTTTAATGGCTCTCAGCACCCCTGCTATAAAAATTATTCCAGCACACCTGGCTAGCATAGAATGTGGCTGAACATACATGCTGTTTTCACACATGGGAATCCATTTTCATCTGTCCTACCAGTTGCTTTCTGAGTGCAATGCAAAATATTGACTTCAATCTCTAAAGTCTTTTATGGTTTGGTTTTCAATATCTTAGAGACCACATCTACTTTATCCATCACATTTGAGAACATCTGGACACAGCCTGTCATGAGAGTTGCATGTATGCAGTTGGAAGAAGGATGATCTCAGTGATGGAACCTTGGGCCTGATTCTCTATAGCCTTCTACATTGCCTATGCCATTCTGATTGGGTATAATTTTACACCCATTTTGCAAAGTGTGAAGAACAACACAAGGTGCAAAGCAGTGGCGAATCAGATGCATAGGCCATATCTACACTAAAGATTTCCCCAAACTAGAGCTATCTATAAAGCTGCATCAGTGCAAGCCCCATATATAGACAAGGCCATAAACTCTTAAACTTGCTTTCTCCCCTTCCTTCAGTACCAATTTGTTGATCTTCTGGGGCACATTGCAAGTCTTAACTCTTTGCTCTGGCTTTTTATGAAAGGATGAGTTGAGTTAGGTCTAGAATTTATTTGTATTTCTTTTTTGGTGGGTTCAGGAGTACTTTGGGAGGGGTGTGTATAATGACATTGGATTATTATTTTTATAATGCTTTTAAATGTCTAGATTGTCTGTCTGTGATGGGCACCATGTATAAATAGAAAAATATCCACAATTATCATAGTGAATAAGGATTTTATTCAGGGTACCATTCTCTGAACCCTTCAAAGAATATACCATATGTGTAAAGGGTTGTGGTTTTTTTGGGGCGGTGGGGGGGATGCAGTTTTTTCCCTGTTCATATGAAGCCTATATAGAATTATTTCTAAATGGAGCCATTGGGAATTCTATGTGTGGAAGACTTGTAGGATGAAGCCTGAAAGATATATAACTAAATTGGGAGTGGGGGGGAGGGAAGCATTTTAAATAATGAAACTTTATTTTCTGGGGCACGAGCTATAACTTTCAGCTCCTCTTGCTCATTGGTATCACTCAATCTAAGATTTTTTTTCTTTGAGATTCCTGATAAGCCAAATATTTGTAATACAACATTTTCAGAATCATTCTCAATCATGCACTATTTTTAGATATACATTTATTGTGTCCAACAATTAATGATCTGCGTTGTTGGACGAACTATGAATGAAAACCAGGCATTTGGACAAATTCTGACCTGCGCTGTATCCTTGCAACCTGATTCCTTCAGTGGAGTTGCATGGGTGTAAATGAGGGCCATGTTCATTCTAGCACATTGATTTTGTATAGTGGTTCACAATTTAGATATTAGCTTCTTTAAACTCATAATCAACAATAATATAACACTTGCCAGATTTTTTAAATCTTCTTCCTCCAGTAAATTATTTCCCAGAAAGCTACATACTGGAGGTTTGTGTTTGCATCTAGATGCTTGATTGCAACTGGGGGTTGGGAGAGGTAACTAAAATATTCAGAGTAATTCATGCTAACTACAGTGATGTGCATTTTATATATATATATATATTTAGAGGCACTTTTATTTATGTGCTTCTAACCCAATAGGCTCCAACTAAGCATTTAGGATGCATTGTCATCACTAAACTGCTTAGTCCCCACTCCCAGGAGCCGACAACCATATTCCAAGACTTTTCAACAGCCACAGAGAAAGAGGGGCTGTTTTCTAGGTATGTTGTAAAATGGAAAGCAGGGCTGTCGCCCCTCCAAATCCTTATTATGTAACACTAGCTTTTTTATTATTATTATGAGAGGGAAACAAAACCGTGGTGTACCCCCAAAAACACAACAGAGAAGGAAGCTTGAAATGCTGTAGGAAGGTGTTTTCTTTAACGGGGAAAAGTTGTCTGCAGCCTCAGTTTCTAGATCTTGCCATCTGCGATGAAAAGCTGATATTAATAAACAATGAGGTAACCATGGGCTTGTGGGGGGTGGAGGAAAAATTGTGTCTGCGGGAAATGAGTACCAGATAGTGAGGTGAGAGAAGGGGTCTGAGACGCACTCTCTCCCCAGGGTTTGGTTTACAAAGAAAAAGTCTGAATGTCCACGTAATCAGGAATTCAGCATTTCAGTTTGTGTGTGTGCGTGGGAGAGAAAGCGAGCAAGTTAACTCTCAATGTGTCTGCGCCTTTACACTTCAGTGTGCTGTGTTCAGGGGAGATGCCGCTGGCAGCATTCCCAGCAACTGTTCCATAGGAGACATAATGGTCTTACAGAAAGTTAGCCAGTGAGAAATACTGGGCTGGACTTTGGAGTTTAAACTAAGAGTATTCGCGGTGCAGATTGCACACCAGACCTGCCATGTAAATGACAGGGTATTTACCCCAGCTCTCCTCATTAGAGTTTCCTGAAGAGTTCTTCGTCAGTTTTTCTCCTCCTAGGTCTCAGTCTTTGGTTTCTGTTGTAAGAGATGGCCAATCACCTACGTTTTCAAGTGTTGCATTAAGTATTTTATATTAATAATAACCAGCCACTCCCAGGATCAAGCCCTTAGTGACAGAAACTCCCTCGTGGTTAAATGCCCTGAACTTTCCTTGAAAAGCCCGATTCTGCAACACTTGCTCACCTGAGTAACTCTTACTCCTGCAGTTCTCCACTTCATTTGAATGGCACTCAGGTGAACAAGGGGTGTTCCTATGAGGAAGGGTTTGCTGGAGATCAGCTCCCAACAGGCTAAGCAGGGGCATACTTACAAACTGCACAATCTCCGGATTGCCAGGATGACATTTCCATAGTGATGTTTCCACGGGGGACTGTTGTGTGGTTATTAAGGTATTATCATAACCCCTTCATACTATTATCAACGGAAAACCTTCCCATGGATAACCTCAGAGGAGAAATTTAGGCAAAAAAATCGCATTGATCTTGCCGAAGAAATCACCATCGCAAGAAATTCAGAGGACCTGTTTGCATCCGTTGCAGTGATAGAACTAGTGAAGCTTGCACTAGCCTTTTGGTTACTGGCTTGGTCGTTGTCTGAGTTACCTTTTCCTGGGCAGACCTTACCTGCTTCCAGCCAGAATATCCCGTTCTTCCCTCGCCTGCTTTCCTTGGCGTTCTTGAATCCTTGAGGCAGGTACTTTGAAGACTAAACCCCTAATTGAATGATACTCCTGACCTAGCCACACGCTGCATAGTACATAAAAGACCCGCACCATGTCTAGTAAGTGGGTACAGCTGCAGAGAGATCCCAGTTGGCAACCCTCGGGGCTCGGTTAATTCCATGACAAGCGAAGTAATGGGGAAACTTTTTGCAGAGCCAGGTGAAGCCGAGAGATTTTATCCAACTCCGTGGCAGAAGCCTAAGGATCTCATTTTCTCGAGCCTTAAATTACAATCCTGAGCTCGGGAGTAGTACAAAACCCCGTCCGAGATAACGGCTATTGACAGTGAATGGAGGGATGGGAGGGGGGGGGGCTGATACCAATTAGCTAGTTTAGCTACACTACAGAGCAGGCAGAATACAAATATTGCAGAGGATAACGGGGGCAAGAGAAAAGGGGCGGAATAGCCTCCTGTGTCTCTCGGACACCCAACTCTGTGGGTGATATTCCGACATGAGCACCAAACATTACATGGAAGCACCTGGGAGGAAACACTGCAAGGGGCTGCACGGCGCAGACTTACCAGGCTTGAAACACTGCCAGGAGGAAGAAAAGCACCAGCAGCTTAGCTGACATGATCTGAGCAGGTACCAGGTGCAGCAGGATGGAGTAAATGTTGCCGGACGTTCACACGAAAAATAATGAGGCGATGGGATAGCGCTTGGATTCTCTCTCTCCTGGTGTATTCCCAGCTCTAGCCCGGGGGGAGAATATCCCCCTTGCACTGCTCCAAAACCCCAAAGCCAAACACCCGAGGAGACACTCCCAGCTCCCAGTGTAAAGCCGGCTCCACGGGCGGGCAGGTGCTGGGGAGCTCCAGCGCTTCCCCTCGCTGGCAGTCACTGGGCTGGAATACGGAAGCGGCCCCTCCTGCTTTTCAGAGGTGTATTAGCCAGGCACCTTCGGTGCGGAGCGGCGAGCGAGACCAGGCACCACCAGGACAGCAGGCGGGGTGGGGGGGGGGAGTAGCGCACCAGCCCCCCAGTGGAAGCCCCCCTCAGCCCGGGCCCTGCCCTGCAGCCAGGCGCTCCGGCCCGAACACACTGAGCCCCTGGGTCTCTGTCCCTGACCAACAGGTACCAGTGGGCTTGTCCGAAAGGAGCAGAGTCTGCCAGAGAGCCCTTCCCCCACCCCCTGCTCTCCCGCTTCCGTAACGATAGACAGGGGGAGAAGGGAGAGGGAACTCCCTCCCGGTGCAGTTAAATGACAGCCAGCAGCAGGCTCGGTCTCTCCCCCAGAGCCGCGGCGTGGCTGCTGGGGCTGGGCTGGCAGCGTTCCCCCCGAGAGGAGCCCATTCTAGTCCGTTCGCTCCTGGCGAGGCGGAGACGAGTTTTTGACAACGGGCGAGGAGGGATCCAAGCCCAGCTTGGCGAGCCGTTGCTGTGGGTTTCCTTGGACGCGCGGGGAGGTCTCTAACAGTTGCAATAATTATAAGGATAGAAACGAGCCTGAGGCGGGGAGGTTCAGATCCCCACAGGCACAACTTGAAGTGGAGGCGAGTGTGTGTGTGGGTGGGTGTGTGGGTGTGGGTGTGTGCGGTACTGCCTGAATCTGCCCTCCTCTTTGAGACAATTCGGGGTACGGGCCAAAATAGGAACCCTTTGCTTTGCATAGTAATGCGGACACTTGTACCCACCCCCAGTCCAACCCGCACTTGGTAACTGTGGCCCCGGAGGGGTTTCTATTTAGGACTGTGAACTGAGATCATTGATTTAGATGGTGGTGGTGCATATTACAACAGGTGTACAGTAAAGAACCCAAGTCTCTGGTATGTTTGCAATGGGTACGTCTAAATAATGTATCATCCACCATAGGAAATAAGTGTTGAGAAGCAAGTTTGACCCAAAGTGTTTTCAAGCCAACAAACATAATAGCTTGGACCCGAACAGCCTGTGAACCTGAACCTGAAGCTTGGACCTGAACACACTGCGATTAAAAAATATCGTGGACATAATTTTTGATTTACTACTTCAGGTCTGTGCACCTCTGAGGTATCAGACGAATAATACCTACGTTACTTTGGAAACAGAACAAAAGCAGCCAAAAGATTTGATTTACATTACACAAATATGGAAACAAGAAATTCTGATAAAAATACATTATATATTCATTTTGTTGTGAAAGTACATCAGGCATATTTTCTTCCTTTCCCTCCTCCAAGGCTTCTAAGTGATCATAAACGACATTAAATGAAAAAAAGAGTTATACATTAAATTGTAATCTTGTGCTCAGAATAACTTGTAATGTGAAGTCTAAAAAATAGTTACAGAGATAACTAGAAGGATTTACAAAAACAACAAGGAGTCTGGTGGCACCTTAAAGACTAACAGATGCATCTGAAGAAGTGGGGTTTTTACCCACGAAAGCTTATGCCCAAATAAATCTGTTAGTCTTTAAGGTGCCACCAGACTCCTTGTTGTTTTTGTAGGTACAGACTAACACGGCTACCCCCTGATAGAAGGATTTATGTTCCCGGAGTTATTTATTATTGGAATGATACAGCTTAAAGGAAATCCACCGTGATCCGGGCACTTAACTTCCAATGATGCACATTTCTTGGAACCTATAGTTTCATTTGTCCTATTATACATTAGTTGTTATGTGTTGACTTTATCTAATTGCATTGAATGCAAATTAGTATTAATCATCTGTTATCAGATCTGTATCTCTCTCATATCGCCAGCAGGGGAATCCAGGCTAACTGGGGAACCTCCTGTTCTTTGTAACAAGAGGGATCAGAAGTTCAAAGGAAAGCTTTATTTTCATTTTCAGTGCTCTAAAATGCACCATACTGCCTATGTCATAGTGCAGGGCTTTGAAATGTTTATATCAATGAAGAGCCTCTTTTGCGATGCTTTGATATGCTCATTTGAAAGGTTATCTGCAATTATCAACAATTTTTTTTCGGATAAATGACCATATTTCAGGTGTCTAAAACAGTTTAAGGTAGATTTATAAAGGTATGTTATTGAAGGAATTGATTTAGTACCTTTGCATAACTCATTGCTCCTAAACGGAACTATTGATATCGTAGGTCTCAGTGAAAGGTGGCTCTTCCTTCAACAATGTAGCATATGGTATATAATATACATGCATTTGTCTTCCCTATTGGAAAGTATATTATCTAAATTTAAAGTTCATCTTAAACTCCCACCTTAACGTTCCTGGCGATTTGGGAAGAGAGGCAAGCGGGTTATATAAACAACGGTTTTACAAATACCAGCCACACTTTTGCCAGCTCTAAGGACATAAGGAAATTGCATCGTAGCAGACTGTCCGAGGACGCCTGCTAAAGCGGACACACTGCTCAGAAAAACCTGCACCGGAGCTGGATACAACATTGTGTGCAATTATTCACAGCAGTGAAATCGGGAAAAGTTGGCGCGAGACCTTGCTAGACTGGTGCCCCAGCTGGAATAGGACAGGCGGATGTTCTATCATATGTGACTGTCTGTCCGGGGATTTCCATTTGTGATGGGGAGTTTCGCAAGTGTTGTTTGTATGCGCATGAGCAGCCTCCGCTCGCTGTTATGGAGTCCCAGCGCCTATCCCCAAATTCAGCACCTGCGGCGTGGCCAGCTCCGGGGGAGCCGCAGCCGGTTAGTGGGCGCGGCATTTCCTGGGCTGCCTCCTGTAGGTTTGTCCAGGTCTGCGAGTGGGGGGATGGTTAACTGTACAGCTACAGAAATGTCCGGAACAATAGGAGACGATCGATACTTGCAAGTCACACAGCGCTGCAGGGTCCCACTTCCAACGCGTGCTGAAGAGTTCGTCTTTGGGAGCAGCGGATACGGAAACCCAGACTGATGTCACTCTACCCCAGGGGCGAGGGAAATGTGTCCTAGAGCTAAGTGGCCCTCTCCTTTTCACGGGCAGGAGTGTAACATCATCCCGCTGCTTCTCCTTCTTCTGGTGACAAGGAAGAGCTGCTACTTGCCCGATTCTTCCTTGGCTGCAGGAGCCTCTTGCGGCTGCTCTGAGAAATACTTCTTAGCAAACACTTGGAGAGGGGCTTTGCTTTCCTTTCCCAGCTGAGCTCACTAGTAGATTCTGCTAAGGGCAAGCCACGTGAAGCACTGGTTATAGGCGATTTGCAAGCAATCCCAGGGTAACGCCGGATCCTCCAGCAGCTGTCTGAAAGGCTGCGGTTCAATAGCAGGAGGCAAGTGCTCACCAGGAAAAAAAAGTGTGGGGAGACAGGTTTTTAAAATGAGCGGTAGATGGGGAGTTTTGGTAAGGAAGCCTGTCCTGCCAGCCGCCACAGGCTGAAAGCGGTTTAGCTCTTAAAGCTGAAGTGCTGATCATCTCGTCCTCAGGGGGTCCCCTCTAGAAAAACTTGTAATCAAACAAAAGGTGGTTGCTTGGTCCATAATGCACAAGTATGTCAACGGCCCACTTCATCTTGAGTGGTCCCTTCGTTTAGTGGAAGTTGTTAGCACATCTTCTATTTGTTCCACCTTGTACTTCACTGGGACCTGGAGAAGAGCTCTGTGTAGCTGGGAAGCTCCTCTCTTTCACCAGCAGAAGTTGGTCCAATAAAAGATATTACCTCATCCACCTTGTCTCTCTAATAGCCCAAGGGGATTTAAATAGCTGGGCGTCACCACCAAACAATGATGGAACTGGCTCCTCTGTTTTCTTTCCAGTACAGCAGAGGCAGCAACTTTAATCTTATACAGAAGCGCCTCTGGTGTAATATACCTCCTATAGAAAAGGCTCCAGTGCCTGTTTCTGGGTGAAGCTTGTTCCTATAACTAGCTCAGGGCCTGATTCACCACTGCCTTGCTTCACTCCCATAACTCCATCAAAATCAATCCATGTACTGTCACCTAGAACTGGAGTTAAGCAGTGAGGAATCATTCCCTTACTTCCCCCCTACCCTTTACAGCATACAAGCCAGCTAGCCTTGTCCACCCTCCCCATTCCCATCCTATTGTCTCTTCCATCCACTTCTCATGTTGTCCCAAACGAGATTCTAAACTCTTTGATGCAGAGACCCTGTCTTCAAGCATAAGTACCCTTAAAAGTTTTCTGGGCATAGCTATGGTGGTTATGGGTGTGATTTTTATCAACGTAGCTATACCAGCCAAACCCCTAGTGTAAAAGCACTTTTGCCTGAATAACTTGTTTTGTTCCCTGAACTAGAATAAACTATCCAGGCAAACACACTTTTATGCTAGTATAATATGTCTACTCTAGGAGTGTTTTACTGGTTTATACCGGCAAAACCCTTCTAGTGCAGACAAGGCCTTCACCATACAGCACAATGGAACTCAGGTCCTGATTGTGGCCTCTGGGCATTGTTACTGCAATACAAATAATAACAGTGCTGCAAATCCTAGTATATTTCTTCTGTTGCATTGAAATACACACGCATGTGGATCATTTACTGTTCCATTGCAGCAGCCTCAATGGATGCTATCAAAGAAAGCAGAAACCCTTCTAGCACACCTGTCCAACTGTACAGTGGGGGGTCTACATTGAAGAAAAATCCCTTCCTGATATTCACAAATGATTACCTTGCAACCTGAAGTAAGAGAACTGATTGCTGTTGTTAGGCAAGCAGATAGTGCTAC